AATATACCTCGGACTCAATTTTCCCCGGATGCCAAACCTAAGAACACCTCGAGTGGGTGACACCTTCAAAAATACCTGGTCACCAACTTCAAACTCAAGGTCTCGTCTCCTTCTATTCGCATAGCTTTTCTGCTTGCTTTGCGTAGTACGAAGGCGTTCTTTGATCAATTGCACAATCTCAAAGGATTGCTGCACCAATTCTGGGCCTAAAATGCTCCTTTCGCCCACTTCTGTCCAACAAACAGGTGATCTGCACCTTCGACCATACAAAGCCTCAAATGGCGCCATGCGGATACTGGACTGATCACTATTATTGTATGCAAATTCAGCCATGGGTAAGTGTTGATCTCATGAACCCTTCCAATCTAGAACACAAGCCCTCAACATGTCCTCAAGTATCTGAATAGTTCTCTCAGATTGCCCATCGGTTTGAGGATGAAAGGCCGTGCTAAAATTTAATTGAGTACCTAGTGCCTGCTGCAAGCTTGTCCAGTAATGAGATAAAAATCTGGTATCTTTATCTGACACAATAGACACAGGGACTCCATGCAGTTTGACTATCTCCTCCATGTATATATTGGCAAGCTTTTCAATGGAGGTGACAGTCCAGTAGGGTAAGAAGTGAGCTGATTTGGTCAATCAATCAACGATGGCCCAAATGGAATCATTACCCTTTAAGGTTCGTGGTAAGCCAGTCACAAAGTCCATAGTGATGTTTTCCCACTTCCACTGAGGAATGGGTAATGGCTGCAGTTTTCCAAGAAGTCTCTGATGTTCAGCCTTGACCTTCTGGCAAGTCAGGTATTGTGAGACAAATCTAGCTATCTCCCTCTTTATGTTTCGCCACCAAAATGTACTACGTAAATCGCGATACATCTTGGTGCTACCTGGGTGAATTGTATAGCTAGTATAATGGGCATCTCCCATAATCTCACGCCTTAAAGCATGGTCTCTGGGTACACATAGCTTGTCACCAAACCACAGAGTCTCATCATCAGAAATTCTAAATTCTTGCATGTGGGTTTCCCCGGCTCTTACTTTTTCCTTCATCTTCAGCAAGAAGGAATCTTTTTGTTGGCCAAGTTTAATTCTATCTATTAATGCCGGTTGTGCAGTGAGAGTGGCTAGATAAGCCGTAGTGCTGTCAACTCTCAACTCCACATCCAGTTTCACAATATCCTCAAGTAACTCCTTCTGAGTGGCAAGGACGCTAGAGGCAGTGCTAGAGGACTTCCTACTCAACGCATCTGCTACCTTGTTAGCCTTGCCCGGATGGTAGCTAATGGTCAAGTTGTAGTCCTTTAAAAGTTCAAGCCATCGCCTCTGCCTCATATTAAGCTCCTTTTGAGTAAAAATATACTTAAGGCTCTTGTGATCAGTGAAGATTTCACAAGTCTCACCATACAGATAATGCCTCCAGATCTTGAGTGCAAATACTACAGTTGCCAACTCTAGATCATGGGTAGGGTAATTTTCTTCATAAGGCTTTAACTGCCGAGAAGCATATGCAATAACCCTATTTTTTTGCATCAAGACACATCCTAAACCCTTTTTCGAGGCATCACTATATATAGTGAATTTTTCCCCATTAATTGGAAGTGCAAGTACAGGAGTAGTGACCAACTTCTCCTTCATGGTCAAAAAGCTCTTTTCACACTCTGGAGTCCACTCAAACTTGGTGTCCTTCTTGATAAGACGATTCATTGGCAGAGCAATTCTAGAGAAATCCCCCACAAATCGGCGGTAATAACTAGCCAATCCCAGAAAACTACGGATTTCTGCAACACTATTCGGCCTTCTCCAATCAACCACGGCCTCAATCTTCTGGGGGTCAACAGAGATTCCATTCTTAGTCACAACGTGACCTAGGAATGCAACATTATCTAGCCAAAATTCACACTTCTTAAATTTAGCAAACAGCCTCTCACTTCTCAATGTCTCGAGGACTGTCCTTAAGTGCTTTTCATGAAGAGTGCGGCTAGAAGAGTGGATCAAAATGTTGTCAATGAAGACAACCACGAATTGATCTAGGTACTTGCCAAACACCCGATTCATCAAATCCATAAATCTGGCAGGGGCATTTGTCAAGCCAAAAGGCATGACTATGAATTCATAATGACCATAACGGGTGCGGAAGGTCGTCTTTGGCACATCATCAGGTTTAATCTTCAACTGGTGGTAGCCAGATCGAAGATCAATCTTAGAAAATACCTGAGCACCCTTGAGCTGGTCAAACAAGTCATCAATTCTAGGAAGGGGATACCGGTTCTTCACATTCACCTTATTCAATTCCCGGTAATCAATGCATAGCCTCATGCTCCCATCCTTCTTCTTGACAAACAACACTGGAGCTCCCCAAGGTGATACACTAGGGCGTATAAACCCTTTCTTAAGGAGTTCCTCCAGCTGGACCTTTAACTCCTTCAATTCTGCAGGAGCCATACAGTATGGTGCTTTGGAAACGGGTCCGGTGCCAGGAACAAGGTCAATAGCAAATTCAACCTCTCTATTCGGAGGTAAACTTGGGAGATCCTTCGGAAACACATCCGGAAACTCACTCACCACCGGTATGTCCTCTAGTCTCGATATCACACTACTAGCATCAGTGACGGAGACTAGGAAACCCTGGCAACCATGTACAAGGTATTTCTGAGCCTGCAAGGCAGATACTAACACGGGTGGAGCAAAAGAACCACTGCCTTGGAAACTAAATTCTGGCTCACCAGGAATATTAAAAATTACCCATTTCCGGTGACAGTCTATAGAGGTAAAGTGTTTTGACAGCCAATCCATCCTCAAAATGATATCAAAATCGGAGATATCTAAAACAAATAAACTAGCACTCAACTGTCTACCATCAACATAAATATCTACAGTCCTACACATCTCCCTAGTAGTCATCACCCTTCTTAAAGGGGTGTCCACATGTAGTTCACAATCAGAGGTATCAACAGGCAAAGCTCGTTTCAAAACATAAGATTGAGCAATAAAAGAGTGCGATGCACTTGAATCAAATAAAACATGCGCATAATCAGAGTTAGCAGGCAAGGTACCTGTGATTACGTCGGTGGCCGCAGCTTCCTTATGAGTCATCACTTGCACTCTCGCCTGCTGGGCTTTTGTCCGAACCTCGGTACTCTGTTTCTGCGCCCCCTGACTGGTAGAACTTTGTGGAGAGGTAGGTTGAGTGCCCTGAGTCTTGGGGTCTAGCAGTGGACAATTTGCAATTCGATGTCCCTGCTTGTCACATTTGAAGCAAGCCCCAGTAACAGTGTGGCATTGATCCCGGGTGTACCCCACTTTCCCACAAACATGGCAAATAAGCTAAGTAGGACGAGCACGTTGGGCCGTTGATGGTTTATAGACTATTAATCAATTGCTCCAACGAGAAATTTCCCGGTAAGTTTCCACTTCCGGGACCAAGCAACACAAAAATATCAAACAAAAGAAACCAACACACATTAAAGAAAGAATCAGACAAGCGCCTTTAATCAACCCCACTCTCATACCTCACCAC